GTGCATGTATGAATATCGCATAACAAATCTCATTTTATGTATAATTACAATGCATCAGAAAAAGTTAAAATAAAATAAAGGTTTTGTCCCAAATGAGTCAATGTTCAGAGGTGGGGCTTGTGGAAAGTGATGAGACAGTGAGGAATCTGACCTCATCAATGGATTAATCCATGGATAACTGAATGGACCGTTGGAGGGTGGTAGAAACTGTAAGAGGTGGGACCTAGTTGAAGAGAGTAGGTCCTTAAAGGAAGGCCCCTAGGGATGCCGCATCTTGTCTCCCCTCACTCCCGTCCCACCAGCAGCCACGGGGCGAGCAGCTTTCTTACACCATGCCTTCTGCCACGATTTCTTCCTCATCTCAGGCCTAGAGCAACAGAGCCAGCCAACCATGGACTGAATCCTCTGAAATTGTGAGTCAAAGTAAATCTTTCCTCTTTTAAGTTAGTTTTCTCTGATACTTTGGTCACAGAGATGAAAAACGAATACACTCTTAATGTAGCAAAGCGATACGGTTGCAAAACAGCAAATCTTGCCCTTAAGCGTATGCATCTGTCATAGTATGTCACCCATATTCCCATGTCAAGTTCCCTCATTGCTGTGCCATGTTGAAGCAGTTGAACCACAGCCGCCCAAGAGTAGGGTCTACTGGTCTAGTTGTAGTTGGGAAGAAGAGTACTGGGTAGCTTTGCCACCTCCCTGGAATCCACAGGAACCACCCAGAATAGAATATGTTCCTACTAGATGCTCCCAATTCCCAGACGGAGGAACTGTGCCCTCCCCTGTCCTCTTGTCCCTACCCATTTAAGTTTTCAGTTACACTCACTAAGTGAACTCACCTGCTGACAGACACCTAAAGTCTGTTAAAGTCCTCCTGTTAAAGAGCTCCTGTCTGCACATTTCTCTGGACATCTCTCTGCCCTTTAACAAAAGAAAGCATGGAAATATGGAGTCTCACCAAGGCAGCTGCCAGAGAGATGTCAGAACATCCTGTAGATTCAGAAGAGAGGCGAAGGAACGCCACAGCCTTACAGAATGGGTTGAAGGGGTGTTGACTTCTAACAGGGCTCAGATGTCTCAAAATCAGGCATCTCAAGAGCTACTTTTCACTTGTGTACTTGCTCCTTCCAGCCTTTCCTGAGCTCTGTTCATTACTGGTTTGAGTGAGGAGGCTGAGCTTAGAGCCAGAGAAGCTAATCGCTGAATTCCTGGGGAATACAGGAGAAGCAGCAGCCTCAATCCCTGGGGTGGCTGAGACAATCATGCTGTCACAGATGACACAGAAACTGCTCAAACACTGAGCTTGGAGCTGGTGGGGGGCACATCCCCACCAAGTGGATCCCCTACCCCAGGGGCCAAAAGTGAGCAAGGAGAGAACATGAAGTAAGATGGGGGCAGGAGCCAGAGCCCAGAAGGAAGCGGGGACTCTAACATTGTGTTGAGAGGGATGGACAAGAAAGGAGAAAATAACTAGTTTGCCACTAAAAGAATGAGGAGGTGGTTAAGGTTGAATGAGTCCCATGGAATCCGGCTCCAGAGCCACTTCTCCTTTACTTCCTCCCTTGGCCAGGCCTCTAGCCTACTCCCTGGAAACCTCACACCTGTGCCCAGCAGTTCAGGGCTGTCAGGTTTCTGGGGATCAGTTTTTAAAAGGCAATCTGCCTTGGGGTATCCATCCCAAATCGATATTCCCAATTCAATAGGCAGAAACTAGAGTACGAACTGTAAGAATGAAATTGCTTTGGAGGTACATAGAATTATGGTGCATTTTGGAAAAGACTTAATTTTTCATAAATCAAAGTGAATTTTGCTGCTGCCTTTCAAGCTTCTAGCAAAAAACAAAAAAATAAAATGTATTTCAATAAACACTGAAACTAAGAGTCAACCATTCATCGATGTCCCTGAAAGTGATGCAGATATCAGAAGTATAACAACTTGGTAGTAATATTCCCCCCTTTGTGATCAGGCTGAATGATGTTTCATTTATTGACTAGTTTCACTATGCACAGGATAATAGTAATAAGATTTAATAATATATTTTTTAAAGTTAATCTTCATTATGGTTGACTGTAAAATGCATATCGAAGAATAACAAATCAAACAATAAAGAGAAAAACCTCTACAGCTGGATAACAAAACGCAGACATATAGCATGTATTATAGAAAAGCATCACTTCTCAGAGCTGGGTAGGCAGGTTTTCACATTCTTGTTGTGGCTTTGTTTGTAAATTGTGAAGGGAAAATTAATTCCTTGAAGTCATGTTTAATCTGGCTTGATATAATAAGTATTCTATAGGTTGGAACTTGACTATCAAGATTGTGTGATGTATTTTATCTTAAAACTCTTCTCATCTTAATTATTAATAAAGAGATGTAGTCAAAGTATGCCAAGATATTAAGACAAAGGGAATTTCAACTTACAATCACCAGTATTTGAAAATTCTGACAATTTTCTATTAGTAAAAAMATATATATCTAGAACTACTAAAGTAGCCCAAAGTTTGATTATCTTTATTAAAATTCATCATTCAAAATGAGGTCTGTTCATAATTTCTGTTATATTAATAGCCATTCTGAGGATGGAATAAAGACCAACTCTGGGTATTTCTAGAAATAACTTCCCCACTATTCTGCTTGCTGATGATGCTTCCTATCCTGTCTTTTAAAAGTTACCATTATTATGACTCTCAAATTACTATCACATAAATGTAACATTGTCTGAATTTGATTCTTAGTGTAAACTATTTTTTAAATGATTGAAAATATTTGATATAAAATCATTTTAAAAYGTGGCTTTCTCAAATTTTAATGAAAATCTTGACAATTGTCTTCAGAATTCTTCCAGGACAACTTTTTCTTCTCTTACTCTTCATTCTTTTAAAATCAATGACTATTTTTACTCTGCTTGGTCAGACAAGTAGGCTTTTGACTTATAAAAGCTCTATTCCAATGGCGCACACACACACGTGCACAACCCCCCACAGTCATGTGTCACTTAGTGGCAGGGATACATTCTGAGAAATGCATCATTAGGTGATCTTATAATGTGTGAACAACATAAAATGTACTTCCACAAACAGCTACACCATCACTAGCTAATAAAATCACATGGGAATTCCATCATACACATTGTCCTTTGCTAAACAAAACACCATTATGTAGCACATGACTGTATATAATTTCATTTTTGCCTGTGTAGTTCTTTTTAAAAATAAATAACCAAGTAATAGAGATTGGTTCAAGGATTTTTTGAGTCATCTAGATCTTTTAAATTAACATAAGGGAGTTACAAGGTGTTTTTGAAYATGCCTCATTACTATAAATTTGCCTAGAAGTGAGTTGATGATGAAATAGCTAAACATGGACAAAGTATTTTCTTTTCCTTGACAGAGTTCCTATTTTATTCCTAAACTCAGAATATTATTACCATGAATTCTTCATCCACTAGTACTGTCTTTGAACTTACTGTTGTTTCAAATGATTTTAAATTTTTATAATTATAAAAAATGCCACAATGGTAATCTACAGATAAATATCAAAAGTACATACTTGAATTGAGAAGTACTCAGATAGTAATATTGCCAAAATTTCATAAGGGAAAATATACCTTTACAGAACAATAAACAGCAACCAAGAGTTAGCTCTTAGAGATATGACCACTAGTATTTTATTCTTTTGTTTGTTTTTCTCTTCTTCCAAAGTATTTTTAAAGGTACTAACAGATGTAAAGATAAAGCAAAACCTATAGCCCCATAACATCCAGATTACAATTTATGGATGATGTGTCTACTTCACATAAGAATGCTTATATATATATATATATATATATATATATATATATATATATTCAATAAAACTCTTAATTCCAAAAATGGTTAGGAGTTTTTGTCTACCAGGTTGACTTACCCTGAAAACCTAAATTTGCCTATTAATCCCCAGACTTCCCTGTAAGCCAATCTTCACTATCCTAACCATTACCTAAGTGGATTGGATATGCTCTAAGGAATATGAATCACAATACAGATGGCTTCTTATTCAAAGGACCACATGCTTATATATTAATTTAATATATGCAATACCTGTAAGGTTCTTTAAGGCCAGACATAGGTCTACTCAACCTATAACATATCAGTGACCTTAGAAATGTGCGCACAAAACTTCACATTATTTTAGTTTCATAAAAAGTTCCACACTTCATAGGTAGGAGAAACCATATGAGAAAATCTCTATCTAAATCCACTACTCCTTTGACCAATAAGCCCACAAAAGAGATTTAACTTCCTCTTGCCTTAGTACAAACTTCTTGATATGCATAATGAATGTGTTGGGACATGGAGGAATCTGATTTCCATAATAATTAGAGCTCTTCTCTGAACAGCAAGAGCAATAGTCAAGTTTTATGGAAACACCATTTCTGAGAGAATCAGTAGAAATGTCACTTCCACCATTGGGTCTTTCCACAAGCTCTTCTCAGAGACAATGCCCTAATTTATTTTTCAATTACATTTCTAATATGCATATGTCAGTTTGGATAAATAATAGGCATTCAGTGAATAAATCTATTAGTATTATGTCTCTAGTTCAGACAAATCTTTAAAGAAAATATTTTCAGGAAAACAATTTATTAGTAATTGAGGTATTGATAGTGCTCCATATTAAAATCTTTTATAGATCCTATAGTATTAAACACTTCTGACAGCATGCACATATGATATGTAATACATTCATCATGTGTCTACTCAAAATCTTTTTGGCAAATAAGATGGCTTAAAAATAAGTTTTGTCAGATCAAGCATTTTAGTCTTCTAGATTTTGATATTAAAATGCTACTTCCTAAATTCTAGGAGAATTGTAGTGTCATGATATGAAAATTTCTGATGTAGCTTTGAAACTAATGAGATAACAAGTATTGTTTCTTTCCCTCCCACTATTTCTCCCATGAAATCACAATCAGTTCTTAAAAAGACTCTTATAATAAAAGTTGAGTTTAGCCTTCTTACCTGGCACCCTTTTGGCCCAGTTGATCATGTGGACCAGCTCCCTGTCTGCCAGGTTGGTCAGCAAGCCCATCATGGAGGCCTCGCTGAAGGGTCTGGTAGGATCGTACTCTGAGTAGATTATGGGGGGCTCAGCGTCCAGCAAGGCACTGACCATCTGATCAGCTGTCAAGGACAAGGCAGGGCTGTTCTTCTTAGTGTGTTTAATAATGAGGGGGCTTGGCCAAAGGTTGGCAGCTCTCATTTCTCCAGAGGTTCCTATTTCATTCCTGCCTTCCCCATCATCTCTCTGACGCTTGTGTTTCAACATTCTTCCTCCTCTTCGGTCTTTCCGTATCCCTGAAAATGCAGGGGGAAAAAAAATTAACTAATTTGTTCCCAAGTAAATTTTCATATAAACACCATTTTCTTTTTTTTATTGTTGGTCGTTCAAAACATTACACAGTTCTTAATAT